AAACATTATAAATTTTAATTAAAAACATAGTCGCCTAAGGTAATTTGAGGACTAAGAGATGAATAAGCATCAAGATGATATTTAATTTCGCTTAGCTTATCTCATCGATAGGAAACTGTAGTTTCGACCTCGTCTAGGTCTGTTTCATTAGCACCACTAGCAGAATTCGATACCAAAAGTATCATGGCGATGATACCACTCCATCACATAGCCACTGTCTCCAGTAGGTCACGGGACAGATACGACATTCACAAGTGAGGCCTCTCCTAGTACATTGCCGATAGTGAGTCCTCTGTCATCAAGGATCGAAGAAGACCACTAAACTCTTTTATATTTTATTATATATGTGACTTTAAATGGCTTAAATATGGTTTAAAGAATGATGCCTCGCTATGATCATGACAATCATATGATATACAGCAGCTTAGCATGTTTTAACCAAATCGAAGGTGATTGCTACGAGGACAGAATCAACAAGAATGATCAAGGAAAACAAACCGAGGGCTGGTTAAGATAAATAAGCTGTTTCCTTCTGAAGAGATGGACCCACGGAAATGAAAAATAAAATCCGAGAGATTCCTCAAAACCAGATAGCTCAGTTGATGCGTTTTTTGAGGTGATAACACATATGGACCATGATGACGATCGGGATAGTGGTGAATTTATCTTCAATTCTTCGTGATCCCTAAACCATTTGAAGAAAGGGTAAAATTTTTCTCCTAAAATGGACATAAACATAAAAAGACATCCTTGTAGAGGTAACCAATATCTTCAACAAGTCCTCTGAAGAGAAGAAACGGGAAATAGAGATGAAAATAATTCCAATAATCTTAGCGCACCGGGAAGAAAAAAACAAAAATATTATCGAGAATACGAAGGATCCTACGGAGGAATGAACAATTAGTCTTTCAGGCGGATAATAGACAGAAAACAATACACATAGAAGATAGAAAGTATACTACGAGACAAGAACACATATCATGTGGTCTTCATTATTCGACAATGAAGATAAATGAACACTATGAGACATGCTGAAAGATAGGCATATGAACGGCGAAATCGAAAAGTTATCAAACACAGTTAAATATTGATATGAATTTTCTTAAAGGATCAAAAACATGACACTGGAAGAAACAGAAACAGTTATGATATACAATCTATATATACAAGGATCTATGAAGAAAAGAGCCTAACGGTCCTGCTAGAAATCTTCGACTGAGAATAGGATATTCTTGAAGCAAAAATGATCGGGAGGGAGTCGCTAACACAATTAATCAACTTGGCAATAATGGCGGTCAACAATAAGATTTATGAACAAATATTTGGACTTTAAATAGGATCACCGCTCGCATCTTTATACAGGGATTAATTAAAAGAGTAATTTGAGACTTTGGCCGGATGAGAGAAAAATTGGAAGATTTCTTGAAGTTTATAGACCACCTTGCTGAAAGGACCAAGGAATTAGAAGAAAAGCGTTTACCTCTTCGGGATGTTGAAGTCATTCGATCGAATGGGATACTCACTAGAATATTGTTTCATTAAAAGTAATTTGCCGGGCTCAATTTGTAGTCTTATTACAAATAGAGACAGAATATTGGAATATTGAGAAGAATGATAATCATAAGACTACGATTGACGGACGTGAAATTCTAAACTCGGATGTCGCTTACCAACCGAGATCCGAGAGAAATAGAAAGAAACATAAGAGCCAGGAAAAACAGATAGTGGAACAAGGAATATGAAAGAAAAATACTGATGAAGAAAGATTCCCAAAAGTAGATATGCCTACCTTCATGAAAACTAATCCAAAAAGTAAGACCAATATTAAGAAAATGAAATATTCACGTTACCGTGAGGGAAAAATACTCTTAACAAGTTTACCTGGGCCTCAGGAGAGAGTAGACAAATTCGATTGCTTGGGAGTTTACTGCATAGCATACAGTGTCCGCAAGCAGAAATATGAGGCAACAGGGAGAAAAATCAGCATACGAAGCAAGGAACATCAAGGTTATGCCGAATAATGAATTCCGGAAGATCAGATATAGTGGGACATTGCACAGGCTAGACACAAGATCATTAGTAAGGCAACAGAGGAAATGTGTTGAAGCAAGGAGATAAGCCGTGGAGACAATACCTGAAAGCACGTGAATCATAGCTCAGACAATCTGCTAGGTGAGGCCGCAGTGTAAGTGTAAGTGTACTAAAGGCTTAATAAATAGCGTCGGAATTAAAATGTATACAGGGACTGGAACTGGGTGAAAGCAATCGGCCAGAAAGATATGAAACAAATTAGCCTAATCATTAGAGTGATTCGGATAAAAGGTCCGAGTCGGAGAAGAAAATTGAGTGGGAGGGGCAAGGCAAATAGTAGGTGTAATGACGCCATACTAAATTCGCCAAAAAAGGACACCTATAGAGGAGTCGAATATAAATAAATCATAAGTTTTGATAGGACGGGACAAGATGCGTTCAACAACATGACTAAGTTGTGAAAACGAGCTCAGATCACTTGTATGCATCAAAGGGAGATAGCGACTAAAACAGAGTCCACGACATTTTGATCTTCATATATATTAAATCACAAAGTGCTTCACTCGCCTTTGATGTGAAGGTTGATGGACTGATTCTGATAATGCGAATTAAATAAAAGATAAAAAGTCAAATGTACCCAGACTTAATAAAATTATACTGCAATTCCGTTAGATAAAAATTAGCTGAAATACAAAATTTATTTTTGACTTTGAGAAATAAGTTATTTGAAATTCAAAATAATAACTTTGACTCACGATATCATCAGTGCATGGAATTCTAGGGAAATCAGCCTGGGTCTGGATGACTATCTTAATCTGCCCCTGAGAATTGTTATCTATTGCCTGGCAATCGTTAAGCTGCATATCCACAAAGAGTTCTGTCGAGCCACAAGAAGTAGAAAGCATAGTTGCCTCATCAGATGAGATAGTAGTCGTAACTTTACTAGTAGCAGGTTCACGGGAAGCAAGATTGTCACTAACAGTGGCGGCGCTAGTAGTAATAATGCGCGTAGTAGTGGCTGGAACTATGAGACCAGTGAACGTTGGGTTGGCATGCTTTAGGCAAGCTTGAGATGGATCACACTTCAGAGCCTGAGAAACGACTGCTTCCAAGCAAGTAGCAATATCCGATTCTAAATTAAAAGCAGCATCGGCCACGGACCCAGTTACTGCACTCTCCCCAAGTGTAGACACGGGTACTTCATCATCATTTATGTGACCCCTCATAGCGGTTAAACCTGCCTGACATTGTGCATCCTGATCAATCTTGTCTGATTCTTGATGGCCTCCACTGTCCATAGAGGGTCGGCCTATTGTCATTTCAACTACATCTCTGTACACATTATGACTATTACATCTTAATGACAGGCCAGCGTCATCAAGAACACCATTTCCAGCTGCCGTCGATAGGGGACGAGAATGAAGTACAACTTCATTCTGACCTTTATGATCATGATCATCATCACTATTAGGATTTTCTTCACTGTAATCAGTAAGCTCGTTATGGTAGTCGAAAAGATTATCCTCTGCACCGGGTCGATCACCATTGATTTGCTGATGAAGAGGGCTCATTTCACTCCCAATTACTCCATCTTCTTCTGCCTCATCTTCGTTACTACCATTTGAACAAAAATGGAAAAAATAATCGATATCAGAATCTGTTGCGTGGGCCCCATGTTTCAAATCATCTACTTCGTTCCCATTGCGTTTTTCTTCATTGCAGGGCACCTCTTCATCATCCTCTTCTGCGTCGTCTTCCTCATCTTCAATTTCCTCGTCATCTTCATCTTCCTCGCTTTCCTCATCATCTTCATCATCCTCTCCTTCTTCATCATCATTATCTTCCTCTTCATCTTCATTATCTTCAGCATCATCTTCCTCTTCAACCCTTTCGTTTCGCGATGCCTCATGCGTTTCGTCTACATAATCGCCCTCAAAATCTTCAAGCTCTGATTCCCCCGAAGGATCCATTTCTGAGACACAAGCCCGTTTCAAGCAGCGTTCTGGTCTTCCAGAAAGAATTACTCTGAGACAAGGTCTATCGAGATCACCAGAGGCAGCGACGTTCAACTGAATGATAGCTTCCACTGTTTCAGCGAACTCGGCGGCAGCCTCGTCCTCCTCATCATCATTTTCTGTCTCCCCTTTATCCTCTGCAATCGCCGTCCAAACATCTGATTCATTCGTGGAATGAGTAGCAGAGTGAAAAGTCGATTGATCAAAAGGCTTCGGACTTTTGACTTCGTACGGTAGGTAATTATCAAGACTAGCCGTTATATTCATATCGTCAGCCGGCTGATCTGACGTCTCTATAAAGTCTCCAAAGCTTGCACAAGGGTGGTTTTGTGTCGATTTTAAAAGACTATCAAATAAACTTCTCTGAATGGAGGGATAAATGAAAAGCAAAATGAGATGATTTTTAAAGTGAAGTGTAATAGAAAACCGACCATTCTGTGAGTTTGCAGAGTAATTTATATTTGGAGATAAAATTAAATAAGGGATAAAAGCGAGTTAAAAAGGGTTTATGAAGAGTTAACAGAGCTTGAGTAGGATGTCATAAGACTAAGACCATTAGAAGCAGTGATAGTAGATGGAAAATGTGTTCGTTGACTGAGCATATAGATGTATTAACCTTATTTCGTTTAAGGTGATGAAGGACTGGTAGTAGAATTTTCCAACAATATGAGTAGAGCTGACGTTTTCATAGCAAGGCTATGTGAAATTCAATGGAAACGTAAGCTCTACTAAAATCATTGTGGCAAAATTCTACTACTAGTCCTTCATCATCTTAAACGAATTATGGTGAATACATCTCATATTACTGATAGTCTCGAAACTCTATTTACATATGAAAAAAGGGATATAGAGTTTGGTGAGTGAGAAGTGTATGACAAATTAGAAGCATGAGGGTAAATGTGGAAAAGATACTTACTATTTGAGTTCAAAACTCAATCCTCTAGTACTTGTATGGAAATCAATAATGTCATAAACTTGAAAAAGGGAAGACAGTAGCAAAAGAATGAACCATTAGATTGACTCATCATTGAAAAGAGAGGATATATTTAGTGATATTTAATTAGACGGTTTTCAAACCTTTCCACACACCTCAGCTGCTGTAGGTGCCCCTTCGTTAGACAGTGAAGAATAAAATGGAGTATCATAGCAAGTCTGATCTGGCAGCAAAAGTGATTCCGCTTTAGATTTTTCACTTCCAACTAAAATAATAGTTAGGCTGATTAAATTGGCTCAAAATATATGCGCTAAAAATGGGATTGGGGGAATAAGAATATTTGTAAACATGAGATAAAAGTGTTAAAAAGAAATCCAACGGAGGCCTGCTGTAGCGACCCCTGATTTCCATATTTCCCAAAGTTAAAGCTATACATGTACCATTTTATCGAGATGTCAGATTTTATACCAAATAAAATAAAGGACCACCTTAGTAATCGGTAAAAAATAAAGCTGGTGTACTAACTTGGATTGAATACTTTTAGAATTCCAATTAAGTGGTAAGAAAAATTATAAAAAGATATAACTATTCATTCTAAGGAAATAACATTGAAGATCAAGGTATGTAGGCCTTTTGTATGGTCGCAGTCTCCTTTCGTTGTATAGAAGTTGGTTGATCATGTAGACAAAAAGAGTAACTGGGTTTGGATGAGTTTCAGCTCTGATGATGTCCATCACATAATAAACGAAAGCTTAGCCCGTTTTCAGCCGAAACAAAGGAGGTCACGCGGACTGTGTCAACCTGAAAGTCGTATAAAAGCCAAACAGCTGAAGTACAACGGGATTCAACCATCCTCGTCTGGTGAAATCGACCTAAGAATCTCTTTTCATGCACTTTCATAGGAAATGAAAGTCTCCAACAATGTAAGTATGGTTCGTCTTCTCGCTATACTATAGCCAAGAAAACTATATCCCGGCAAGTCAATAGAATTAGAAGTGAGTTGACCTCACTGAGGCAACTTGGCCTTGTTGTCAGGGCGACTTAATAGAACGCACCTAGTCCGAAGTCGTCTGTCATAGTAGTTGTTATGATTCCCAGCATCAGACAGTGGACTTGGTACATTCTTAAACGTCCACTGTCTGATGCTGGGAATCATTACAAATACTATGGCAGACGATTCCGGACTAGGTGCGTTCTACTAAGTCGCCTTGACAACAAGACTAAGTTGCGACAACGAGGTGAACCCATTTCTATACATCGAAAGGAGACTGTTACCATACCAGATACCACAATATATTAGTCTTCATATCTTAATATAATTATATTTTTTTCAAATTTGTATTTCTAATAATGTTGTTCCTGTGTTATTTACTTAGTAAACATTTTAATCTACCGGCATCCATCAATAAGGAACTTG